AACCTTCTCCTACCTACCTCCTACCTCCTATTGAGGTAACCTTCAAACTGGTCACTTGTGAGTCACTTGTGACAAAGACATTCACCTTGGGGCTTGTTATAACAATTAGTAACTGGTCATCCTGGTTTGCATTGGTGTCAATAGTATGTCAAAGGATTTCCTGAAACCTGTTACCCTTGTTATTTCATCACACCTTCTTGAAATGTATATAACAGACACCTGTAGAACACAAAAACTCTAAGATCACCTTCAGCAGGAAACCACAACATACCTTCTGGTGGAAGATTCAGGTGAGGAGCTAAATTACCTGCTTTCCCCCCACCCCCATGGGATTGCTGTTTCCATTTAAGAATGCTGTTATGGTTCCAAACCAAGCCAGCAAAAGAAGAGGCCACACTGTGAGTAGAATGGGTCTCTTTAGTGAAGTCTCAGCTTGGCACGTGGTGCACAATAGAGTAAAAGGGTTTCTAGTCAGCATTACTGGCTTCTGCTAGCCAGCTGGCTGTATGGACTCAGCATGCTCCGCTCTCCTGTTCCTGCTTGCTCCCTGGCTGGCTCCAACAAGCACTTTTTTGCTTGGCCCAGTTCCAGCAAGCACTCTTTGAGCCCAGTTGCTGCTAGATCAGCATACTCCAAGGAGTATGGGAGTCTCCCAGTTCTCTGATGCACTGGCCCTCCAGCACAGGTTGTCTCCCTACAGACATGTTCGTGTGGTGGAGGGAAAGGGCCCCAGACTATCCTCAGCCTCCTATACCCACCTTCTCACCATATTCTTGTGCCCCATTTGTCCAAGCCCAGGATCACAGCTTCAGTCATTTTTGGTACAACTACGAAGCGGATCATCTCCCAGTGCATAGCCATCTCCAACCTTGCAGGCTCTGTGATGTGGGTGGTGGTGGCTCCTCCCAACAGGGACCCGTCCACCTGCTTGAACTGCAGTGACTTGGCCAACTACCGTGTTGTAACCCCCAGCTCATTGACTGCTGACAAGCTAATCAGACAGTCAGTCAATGCCTCAAACACTCCATGAGCCCTGCTTCCAGGGACTGTGAGACACCTTGGGACCACAAAAGATCAGATGGGGGTACTTACCACTGGATCTTGGTCCTCCTCATCATCGCTGTCATCTAGGACCTGCAGCTGCTCTGCCTCGGTGAGGATTTCCTCGTCTAGTCGGGATAGCAGGGCCCCACCCATTTGGTGGGCTGCCCTGGATTTTTCAGGAATCTTCCTAGGGTTTTCTCAGTTTTCCCTGGTCCACAGTCTTCGTTCTTCCCCTTTGCTGTGGGGGCTGGGACTCAGCTGCCTGATGGCTGGGCTGACCGCATCTAAAGCACAACATAGACAGATGAGGAGGCCAATTTGGGGTTCCAACCCCCCCCACACAGGTGGAGCTGTGCATTCGATGGTCAACTGCCACTTAGGGAACCTACATGGCCTAGGTCCCAGGGCCCTCTTGGGGCAAAACTCCCTCAACTCAGCATCTACGGTCGCCCAGTACCACTCATTTAGCTGAGGGGGCAGGCCATGTTATGCACAGGCCTGCCACAGGCCTCAATCAAGCCCTGCTTTGAATCGATGAACCAGAAGCTGTTCCAGCCAATGCCGTAATTTGCTGGCAAGCCAGCGGAACTCCCATATATAGTCCAACATCTGGAGAGGTCCCTGAGTTAATTCCATCAGCTCCCCTTCAGCCCTCTGGATCCAGGTCACATCCTCGAAATGGCACTGCAAAGCTTCTAGCAGCAGGTTGACATCTCCCAACTCCCAAGTATTGGCACTGTACAGATCCGCTACCCAGTCTGCTGCTTCCTCATCCAGGGCCACTGTCACTGCATCCTCTATGGCCCACTGGCTGGGGTATAGGTGTGCATAGCAGTTCATGTGACTAATGACTTGGCATATAAATAGCGCCAATCTGGTGGGGTCCCTGTCATATATGGCCCTCAGGTGTGGTAGGACCCTGGCCCATGGCTGCAGCTGCCAATAGTCTAGAGAGACCCCTTGACCTAAGACAGCTGATAGTCAGGGCCGCCTCCTGGTAGTTGAGTCCCAGTCCCAGCAGCAGCTGTGGAATTTTCCCACCAGTCTCCAGCAGCCTGTGCTGCTGGACCTTCCAATGCAGCCCCCTCTGCCAGTCCCATGTCAGTCTCCCTTGCCAATTCTTCGGCCACCCCACTGGTTGGCACCAACATGCAGCTGCCCCCGGAATCAGCAAGTCACCCTGACAAACAGCTGATTCTAAACAAACTGACAAACAGCTGATTCCGCAAAACCAACCAGAATCAGCATGCAGCGGCCAATGATCATCTGCTCCAGGGGTGGGTTCTACTTACCTTTACTACCGGTTCGCAATGGGGCCACGCACAGAAACGTTCTGATGACGTTGAGGTTGGTGGGCAGAGCCTCCCGCCGGTTTTACTACCGGTTCTATAGAACCGGGGGCAACCACCACTGATCTACTCCCTCCGAGCAGGCCGGAAGCACTAACAGCTCAAAAGGCAAAAGAAAGAGGGCGAGAATGTCATGGTTCCAAACCAAGCCAGCAAAAGAAGAGGCCACACTGTGAGTAGAATGGGTCTCTTTACTGGAGTCTCAGCTTGGCACGTGGTGAACAATAGAGTAAAAAGGTTTCTAGCCAGCATTACTGGCTTCTACTAGCCAGCTGGCTCCACCCCTCCTGTTCCTGGTTGTTCCTGGATGGCTCCAGCAAGTACTTTTTCTGCAGCCCAGCTGCTCCCTGGCTGGCTCCAGCAAGCACTTTTTTGGCCAGGTTCCATCAACCCGGTGGAACCCAGGTTACCCGGTTACTCTCTGGTTGGCTCCAGCAAATACTCTTCAGACCTGGATGGCAATTGCAGCTGGCTTGCTTTCCTGGCTCCTCTCCCAGCATAAGTCCCATCACCCAACACCCATCTGTGGCCCCATGCATTCCTCTCTCCCTACATGTGTGTGGCAACTCTGAAACGGTGCACTGTCTCGGATGTTGACAGATGGTTTTTAAGGAGTCCTCAACTTATGAGCATTTCACTTTAGTGGTTGTTGGAAGTTATGATGCTGGCCAAAGGAACTTAGGTTTGGTCTTCAAAGTTCCAGTCATTGCAATACCCCTGTGGTCACTCAAACAAAATTTGGTTACTTGGCACCAGCTTCTACTTGTGACCAGTTGGAGCTTCCCATGACCATGTAATTGTATTTGTGACCTTTCCTATCAGTTTCCTTTAAGCAAAGTCAATAGGAAACTGGCAAAAAAGGTTGCAAGTCATTGTGGTAAGTCTCCTTCCTGTTTTTTTTTTTCCTCGCCTGTTCAGACCTCCCTTCTTCTGCCTTTTGCCTGCTTGCACATATCACACCCTCCTTTTCCCCTTTGCTTTCTTTCACCCTCAGTGCTCTCTTTCCCAAGCCCGCCTGTACTTTCACACATCTAGACACTCATAAGAGCCTTAACAGAATAACAGAGTTGGAAGGGACCTTGGAGGTCTTCTAGTCCAACCCTCTACTCAGACAGGAAGCCATATACCATTTCAGACAAATGATTGTCCAATCTCTTCTTCAAAATCTTCAGTACTGGAGCACCCACAATTTCTGGAGGCAAGTTGTTCCACTGATTAATTATTCTAACTGTCAGTAAATTTCTCCTTAGTTCTAAGTTGCTTCTCTCCTTGATTAGTTTCCACCCATAGCTTTTTGTCTTGCCCTCAGGTGCTTTGGAGAATAGCTTGACTCCCTCTTCTTTGTGGCAGCCTCTGAGATATTGGAACACTGCTAACATGTCATTCCTAATCCTTCCTTTTACCACACTATATACCCAATTCCTATAATTGTTCTTTGTATGTTTTAGCCTGTAGCCCCCTAATCTTCTTTGTTGCTCTTCTCTGCACTCTTTTAGGCAAGCCTTCCTTGCCAAGTCTCCCTATACTCACGCACATGCATGTACCCATCATTACCCTCCTTCTCTGGCCTTTCTGAGCTTGTGTTGATCTTATCTCACCATAGCATCTCCTCTCCCAAGTCACATGGGCTTCTCCCACACCTGTGTGGCATCCCTGCACTCCTTACCTGGGACTCCCTTTGCTTCCCACTTAAGGACCTGTGCATCTTGCAATTACCAGATGAACAGAACTTTCTGGATTGCTGTAGCTAAGTCAATGAAGTCAATGACATCACTCTGTATCATTGCACCTCTTAGTGAGGTCAATCCCAGTCCAAATTACTGTTGTAACTTAAGCACTATCAGATCACATATCAGTGTTGAAGCACTGATTTTGTTTGAATCTGGTGGCCTTCCAGCTGAGAAAGAGCTTAACATTAAGATTTTTTTTCTCAAGAGTAGTAATAACAACCATAAATATTATGGTGATAGTGGTGGTGATAGTGATATCCCTCATCAAATTCAATGCAAACAGAATCGAATTCCACCCATATGTTCAGACTTATGAAAAATCCATCTAATTTGAACTTCTGAATGTGATTTGATTTGGAGCATTAAATCACATGTGCAATATCCACATTACCTAAATTAATTTGGACCTATTTAGGCCCATTCAATCTGATAAATACGTTCAGTGTTCCAAAACTATCTGAATTGATTTGGGGGTGTCAAATATTCATGCCAGCCCAAAAATTAATGATTATTGTTCCTTCATATGTTTAATAATGTTCTCCGCTTATCCTAAAAATAACAATGTGCTAAGAAATTGTGGAGTCTTCTGTCACCACAAAGACCTGGAATATCAGGTTATAGTTACAAGATTCATGGTTTTGCCTATAAGATAAACCAAACTCTGTGTCTTTACCATCAATTCAAATAAACCACAGCTTAATGTAACACTGAGCTCTATATACAAATTAATTTACTTGGCTGAAAACCTATCAGTGCAAAGTAACGTGCAATATTAAGTCTTGAAAATTGCAAATACAGAGCAAGTTTGAATCTGTGCATAGATGTTTCTGCTGAAGGTCCTGCTGTTGATTTGGCTCTATCACTATTTGGTATTTTCAGATGAACTTAGAAAATGGGATTATTTATTTATCTGAGTGCCTTCCTGGTCAGCTTTCTGCTTTCCTGCCCTTTCTTTGGAGGTGAGTTATTATATATTATTTTAGGTAGCACTGCTTCCTTCATTCCCAAACCTATAACATTGCTCAGGGTGTGACATTCTTTATATTAGAGCAAACAAAGCTATGGAAATGTATTATCCAAATGTATTTCAAAAGAGAACTGCTCATTTGAATAACTGCATTATTCTTCTTAAAGTAAATCTTCAATTTGTAGTAATGATATTCAGTTATACAGTACTACACATCCTTGGTTTCCTGACTTGAGTTTGCAAAATATGAATAAACACTTCCTAACTAAGAACACATGACTAAAATACAACTTTTTGCATACTTACAAAAGAACATGTTTAATGGTTTCTGTTTTATGCAGCATTTCCTCTAAACTGGCTGAGGGAGTTGAGACCTACAAAGGGTTAAGGCTGATATAAAGGCTGTTGATCTAGATTAGCCAACAATCTGAACAAATAAATTAGAAATATATGTTGCACGATCTTTTGGTTGAGTAGTAGATTATTCCCCTTCTGATTCCATTCTCGGTCCTTCCTATTTATCTATCCCACTCATATAGTTAATGCTGACACCTGTGCCAGAGAGTGGCTACAGTACCAGGGCAACTGCTATGGATATTTTGAGGCCAAGAAGACATGGGAAGAAGCTGAGGTAAGAGGAAGTTCTGAATATGAGAGCTGGCATTTACCTGAGTTGGTGAAGTCCATCTTCTTGCTAACTGATGCCTTCCCCTTGTTTCTCTATATGGAAGTTAGCCAGGCAAACAGTTGGACAATACATAAAACTATATCTCCCTTCACATCCAGGATCAGACAACTGTGAGAGTTTTATTTATTTATTTATTTATAAAATTTACTTGCCACCCATCTTGTATTCAACAATTGTGAGTATCTTACAACATAAAAACATTGCAGGATGCAGAAAAGTGTTGAGGTTAACCACAAGTAAACCTTATTATGCTAGATTTGGAGATAACCTGAAGGTGGGGTCAAATGTTTAATCAGTTTGGAATCCTGATACAGTCACAAGAGACCCAAGAGCCTGGTGGTGCGGCAGACTAAAGCACTGTTATTAACAGTTATTAACATCAGCTGCCTGCAATTACTGCAAGTTCAAATCTCATCAGACTCAAAGTTGACTCAGCCTTCCATCCTTTCTAAGGTAGGTAAAATGAGGACCCAGATTGTGGGGGCAATAAGCTGACTTTGTATAAAAATATACAAAAAGTATGAAGGCTATTGCTTAACGCATTGTAAGCCGCCCTGAGTCTCCGGAGAAGGGTGGCATATAAATCAAATTAAAAAAAAAAAAAGTCCAGCCCTCCTATGAATTCCATTGACTCTTATCTAGTACTAATTTGCTTTACCATTAGTAGATCAGATAATTGTATATAAGTAACATATAATAAACTTTTAGTGCCTTGAACTTGACTCCTGATCCTGGTTACTTCTACTTGACACTAAGTCAGTAAGATAGAAACTCTTCAAGAGAAAATTCAGAGAACTTTACCTTCCAATAGGTTCACCTCAGGCCATTACCTAACTATGCCTAATGTTAGTTTGGTCCTCTATCAGATATGACTATTCATGAATATATGAAACTTAAGACTTGGGAGGTGGGAAAGTAGAAAGGGCTGGATAAACTCAACAGCTTAGTCTGAGACAGCGTTGCATTGTCTTGCAGCTCAGGAGGGATATTTGAATCAAAACATCATGATTCCATGTAGTTCTAGTGTCACTTTATGACTCTTGTCCATGTTGCATTGATCCAGGCCATGCCACTAGCTAGCCAGATGCAGAAGAAGGAGACAGTACCACTCAAAGACTTTTTTTCCTTTGTGTTGTCCAGATTGAGTGCCAGAGTTACCATCGTGGAACCCATTTGGCATCCATTCTCACTCTTGCAGAGACTCTCGTAGTGGCTAATCACATCATGTCCTACCAGACTCAACCCAGCAATGTATGGATTGGATTGCATGACATTAGACATGTAAGAAGTTCTGTATTATTCTGCTGAACCCATGTCTTCTAATACTTTATACTTTGCATGACATGTAATTAAAAAGTAGTCTCCTTTGAATTGAGTTCATTATTCCATGGAGTCCAATCAATGGAGCTTTCTTGGTAATATGAAAATATATCTAGTATATTTCAATCAAGACTATAGCCCTGTAATTCCCTGTTGGCAGCCTGGGATTAATCAGGTCTGACAATGTTGGCCAAGATTGCCACCTTCTGAGTAATGACAGAAATTCTCTGAGTTCTACATAGGAATTATTGTGCCTGTCATTCATACCTCAATAACTGTCTGTTTTGGCACAGCAATCAAACTGGACAGGTACAGACTTCAATGGATAGTTAGGACTACAGAAAAAATAATTGCAATCAGCCTGTTTTCCATAGAAAGCCTTTATATTACATGAGCCAGAAAGAGAGCTGAGAAAATATCTACAGACCTGGACATAAACCATTTCAACTTCTCCCCTCAGGATGCTGCTATAGGGTATTGCCCACCAAAACAACTAGACACAAAGGTAGTTTTTTCCCCATGCCATCACTCTACTAAATACCTAATTCCCACAGCACTGTCTTATGTCTAAAGATATTTACCCGATACCCATGTAGAAGCCTGCATTGCTATTGTCCTTCTCATTTTCTCCTCTTTCTTATTTTCTTTCTTCATCTTCTCATCTCTCCTACTACCTTCTCCTATTGGTATCTTATGATTTATGATCTATGGCTTATCACTTTGCTGTTTGTATGTACATTGAGAACTTATGCAATGGAGACAAATTCTTGTGTGTCCAATCACAGTTGGCTAATAAAGAATATCCCTATTCCTATGACATAGAATGAGGGACTGTGGAGAACTTCAGAATTCCTTCCACCAGTGAAGGATAGAATCTTGATGATAATTCAGAAGTCTTTGTTTTTCTGTTGTTTGTCATGCCATAGTTTTCTGAGTATTCCTTCCTCTTATTTCATCTAGTAATACCTCATCTTTTCTCTCAATATTTTTTCATGAGTTTCTGGTTTATAGTTTTAGGTTCTTAGGAGCAAATTGTATATAGTTCTCTACATTCCCAATCGTACAGTTCTTCAAATATGATCTGTCCTTTTTGGAATCAGTTTGCAAATAGTTTTAAAATTTCTGTATGGAAATGCAGGCATATATCTTCTAACAATGCATTTTGCACACACCTTTCTTGATATATTTTTAGGGCGATGCATGATTTGAAAATAATTCAGAAGAAGTGTGTACTTATTTGAAGCATTTTCTATGAAACTTTTTTTTTTTTGTTATTCGTTAAAATTGCCTAATATTTTCCAAGCAAAATGTGCTCTATCAAAACTGTGGGATCATTTTTTTCAGGTTCACCCAGAATATTCACAGCTTTAGTGTTTTTGCAAGTGATTTTTCCAATATAATGTTTTATGGCTGGTGTGATGATTTTTCCCTATACAACCTTGCCTCCAGAAGTTGTGGGTGTTGCAACACTGAAGGTTTTTAAGAAGAGACTGGATAGCCATTTGTCCAAAGAGGTATAGAGTTTCCTGCCTGAGCAGGGAATTGGACAAGAAAACCTCCAAGATCTCTTCCAACTCTGTTATTCTTAAATGTGACTTTCACCTTATTCTGTTCTTTGACTGTAATAAAGAATGTTGTGACCTTCACTGATTTATTTTAAAAAATGAAAATATTAGCATTTAAATGGATTCAAAGTGAATACATTTCTGCTACCTTCTTAGGTTGGGCATTCTGGCTGGGGAGGATGGGAGTTGAACTACAGATGACATGGAGACCAATAGACTGGGATGTAAAGCTCAGAGGAATGAATAATGCCCAGAGAGTCCACCATCCATGATTGTTTTCTTCACCCTGATTTATCTGTGGGCCTACTTTGTGAGAAAATGTGTTTTATGACCTTCTTGGCATTCACAAAGCTCAGCTGAATTGGGCTTTTTCCTGATCCTTTCCCAATTCCAAACCATTTCATCTTGGGAATTCCATGGAAGCCATGTTGCTGTCATCATTATGACTTTCATCTTCCACTTACAGGCTAACTTCCTTCATCTTCTTCTCAGCACAGCCTTGAAGCTGCTTGCTGGCCTCTTTATTGGCATCCTGCTGTTTGGCCACTTGGGCTACTTCTGTCTCCAAAACATTGATGGAAGACTTATAAGATTTGGGACGACTCTTCATTTCCTGCAGCTGAGTCGCTCATCACTTGTTTTGATGCTCACACTGCTGGCAAGCCTCTTCATTCTTCTCATCAGTGCTGTTCTCTGTGTTCAGGTCTGTGTCTATGTATTCTTCATGTTCTTTACATAAACATTCCCTCTCCTTAGAACATAGAATAATCGACCTTGGAAGGGATGTTGAAGGTGTTCTACATCAATCTCCTATACTATACTATAGACCCTATACTATTTTAGTGAAATGATTATCCAGTCTCTTTTTGAAAGCCTCCAGTGATGGAGCCACCATAACTTCTGAAGGCAAGTTGTTCCATTGCTTGATAGTTCTTACCATTAGGAAATTTTTCCTTAATTCTAGGTTGCTTCTCTCCTTGGTTAATTTCCATCCATTATTTCTTGTCTTGCCTTTTGGTACTTTGGAAGATAGTTTGACCCTCTTTTTAGGAGCCCCTCAAATATTGGAATACTGTTATCATGTCTCCCCCTAGCTTTTTCATTAGACTAAGTAAAGGAAAAGGTTCCCCTCGCACATATGTGCTAGTCGTTCCTGACTCTAGGGGGGCGGTGCTCATCTCCGTTTCAAAGCCGAAGAGCCAGTGCTGTCCGAAGATGTCTCCGTGGTCATGTGGCCGGCATGACTAAATGCCAAAGATGCACAGAATGCTGTTACCTTCCCACCAAAGGTGGTCTCTATTTTTCTACTTGCATTTTTTATGTGCTTTCAAAGTGCTAGGTTGACAGAAGCTGGGACAAGTAATGGGAGCTCACCCCGTTATGCAGCACTAGGAATTTGAGCTGCTGAACTGCCGACCTTTTGATTGACAAGCTCAGCGTCTTAGCCAGTGAGCCACTGCATCCCTATATTCATTAGACTAGACATACCCAATTCCTGTAACCGTCCATTGTATGTTTTACCCTCCAGCTCCCTAACTATTCTTGTTGCTCTTCTCTGCATTCTTTCCAGAGTCTCAACGTCTTTTTTTTTATATCATGGTGACCAGAACAAGATGCAGTATTCCTTTAAAAAAAAAAATTATTAAGGTAAACACAAAACAAAAAATACATACAAACATAGATACATTAAAACAATACGAAAGAAAAAACAGACCAACACTAACTCAGTCCACTGACTGACTTCTAAAAGCTGTTGCATTGGTGGTTATTTTCTATTTCGTCTATTCTTTTCTGTACATATCTATTTCAAATGTTTACTTGTTTAGACATACATACATATCCAAGGTTTCCTTTTTACAAAAATATCAACTACATCTTATAACTTTCTAGAAATCCTTCTAAGTTTTTATCTACATCCTCGTTCTATTTTGCTTCTTATATATTTGTCTATGTTTCTTGGTTAGATTGACAAACTGTATTATTTGTTGGTCCTATCTTTCCCTCTAACCAGGAGTACCATCTTTGCCACACTAAATAGTAATCGGTATCATCCTTCTCTTGCAATTCTTTTGTAAGTCTGTCCATTTCTGCACATTCTGTTATTTTTGAAATTATTTTTTCTTCTGTCGGTAATAATTCGGATTTTCAGTTTTGAGCATATGTTATACGTGCCGCTGTTAAGATGTGAATAATAAGATACTTCATTTCTTTGTTATATTGTGGTGTGGTCATTCCAAATAAAAAAAAACTCCAGTTTCATTTCGACCTTCTGTTTGGTTATTTCTTCAATCATTTTCCTGATTTCCTGCCAATAATGTTGCGCTCTTCTGCAGGACCACCAGATGTGGTAATATGACTCCTTTTGTGATTTGCATTTCCAGCACATTGGAGACATATTTGGGAACATTTAAGCCAAACGTGCTGGTGGGAAGTGCCATCTGTAGAACATCTTGTAAAGATTTTCTTTATATGGTATCGATAGTGTCAGTTTGTAGTTTTCTGTCCATAACTTATTCCATTTATCCAGTTCTATGCTGTGCCCTATATTTCTTGCCCAGGTTATCATATTTTCTTTCACTGTTTCCTCCTCTAATTTGTACTTTATTAAGTATCTGTAAATTTTAGTTATCATTTTCTCGTCCGTACTTTTTAATATTTTATCCAATTCGTTTGGTTCCATTTGAAATCCATATTGTGTCCTGTCTGCCATATATCTTGACTCTATTTGGAGGTAAGGCCACCATTCAATAACTATGCCTCGGTTTTCCAGCTCTTGTCTCATATATAAGTTCCTTTCACTATTCAATAATTCCTGGTAGCTCCTCATCTTGTCTATTTCCATGGTGTTTGGGTAGATTAAAGCTTCCATAGTCGATAGCCATCGCGGGATTTTATTGTAGTGTTGTTTTCTAATTTGTTGCCAAGTTTTATATAGTGAGCCTCTAATAATATGTCGCTGAAAATACCTATGTTTTTTATCTGTGCCTTCCCACAAAAAGGCATGCCAGCCTTGGTTCAAGTTGAATCCCTCTAGAAAGAACAAGATGCAGTATTCCAAGTGTGGTCTTACTAAGGCTTTGTAAAGTGCCACTAGAACTTCACGTGATCTTGATTCTATTCCTGTATTAATGCAGCCTAGCTTTGCATTGGCTTTTTCGGCTGCTGCCGTACACTCTTGGCTTAGATTACTTTCAATTTGATTTTTCACTTCAAAGCACATACTGTATCAAAATAATTGTTCCAAATATCCTCTTTCCTCTCCTCCTATTGCTTACTCTGTTTCTTCTTCGAGACATTAGCTTCGATCCACCTTCTCATCTATGTAAAATTAGCATCACTAGGTAATTATTTACTGGTGAAAGGGCTGCAAAGAATTTCTATCTCAGGTTTATTTTCCTACAAGAGATAAGACAACCTCCAGTAATTTTCAACAAGCTGTAGGGATGTGTTGAGACTGCAATCTCCAGAAATTCCAAACTTCCAATCCTCCAAAAATATTTTTTGTAGTATCCTGAGTCATCTGTGCTTCTAGTTAGAATTCTGGGAGACATATAATCGATGAAAATTTCAATGGGGCTTCAAATATGGGAACAAAACTCATCCTTTGGAGAAGATATTTATTCTCCAGAAATATTCCTGAGTTCTCCCCTCCCTTGGTACATTTTGGTAGCCAAGCCAGAATCTCCCTTTTCTGGTGTCCTCTAGTTGCTGGTTGCAATCTCTACCTCAGGAAGGATTGTACAGGGTTGTTTAAATTGGAAATATGTGATGCTTCTGCCCAAGCCTGCTCAGAGGATATAAGGAATCTTGTGTACCCTAAAGCTCTACTTGAAGCTTTGCCATTTCATCAACTGAAGAGCTAGTTTGGTCTAATGGTTAAAGCAACAGGCTAGAAAGCAGAAGGCCATGAGTGCAAGTCCTGCCTTAGCCATGAAAGCCATCTGGGTAACTTAGGCCAGTCAATCTCTCTCAGCCCAACCCACCTCACTAGATTGTTGTGGAAAAAATAGGAGGAAGATATGTTGGATATGTTCACTGTCTTGCCTTGGGTTGTTTAAAAAATAATAAAGGCAGGTACAAATAAAAATAAACTGGGCTAGTCAATGGTAACACAATGTAAGGCCTGCAAGATGGCTGCCCCTTCCTTTACTTTCCTTGATCCTTATTGTAATGCCAGAGATAAGGCATCGATTGCCAAGAAAGTCTAGAATCCAAATCATACCGCGTTTCCCTGAAAATAAGACCCTGTTTTATATTTTTTTGTTTTGTTTGTTTGTTTGTTTTATTAAATTTATATACCGCCCTATTCCCGAAGGACTCAGGGCGGTGAACAGGCACAAAATAAAATACATAGATACAAAAGTTAAAAAACATAATTAAAACCAGATTAAATAATTTAGCCCGAGACAATTAAAAATACCAATAATTTAAAACGAATTAAAATTTCAATTTAAAAGAATTTTAAAACAGGGGAGAAAATTAGGCCAGGCCAGCTTGCTGTAATAGGAGAGTCTTAAGAGCACGGCGGAAAGTGCACAGATCCGGGATCCTCTGTATCTCTGGGGGGAGCTCGTTCCAGATAGTGGGCGCCCCCACAGAGAAGGCCCTCCCTCTGGGGGCCGCCAGTTGACATTGTTTAGCTGATGGCACCCGGAGGAGCCCCTCTCTATGAGAGCATACCAGCCAGTGGGAAGCTGCTTGTGGTAGTAGGCAGTCCCGTAAATAAACCCGTAAATAAATTTTGAACCCTGAAATAAGCACTTGGCCTTATTGCCATGCGTTCAAAAGCCCGATTGGGCTTATTATCATGTCTTATTTTGGGGAAAACAAGGTAAAAATGGGCTTTTCTAGATTCTCATTTTCTTTTACTGTTCTGCTCTTTAGCTTTCTCTTTTCTTTCAGTGGTCTTTTCATAGGGATCACCCGTAGAGAGTTTCAGTCATCCGGGTCATGGTTGTCCCAAAGGTGCTTTTTCAAAAGGCAAGTGGAGTATCTTTGTTTTTCCTTGAAGACATTTCGCTTCTCATCCAAGAAGCTTCTTCAGTTCTGACTGTAGTTCTGACTGAACTGAAGAAGTTTCTTGGATGAGAAGTAAAAAAATTTCAAGGAAAAACAAAGAAAGTCCAGCTGCCCTTTGAAAAAACATCTTTGGGATCTCCCTATTTCTTCCCCTGCTTTTCTTGGTTTTTCCAACTTTTATTTCAAAGCCCTTGGAGACCAGTCTGGAGCCAAAGCTTTATTCAGGTTTGAACCTGTTGCATTTTTCTTTTTGCTCTTTTCACCACGCAGAATGGAAAATGGAGATGGTCTGATGAATCCACCTACAACTACAAGGCGTGGATGTTGGGAAAACCCAACTTGAGAACAAAAGAATATTGTGTTGAGTTGGTCCGTCCCATACATGGAGCCAATGTTTCAAAAGAGTCCTCTCATCAATATGAAGAAGCACCCATCAGAGATCGTAAAGGTGAAAATTTTCAACCTATGGTCAGCAGGCAACACTCTCCTGTTCAGTAACATTCCTTGCCCTCACCTGAAACACCTGCGTAGTGGTGAACACTTGTTCTTGGAATACATGTATACCAGTCACAGCAGATCTTCAGGGCAAATAATAGAGAAACAAGTCTAAATCTTAATTCCCAACAATCAGCCTGATCTGTCAATGGCTCACTGTGATGATGATGCTAAGTTATGATTTGTTTTAATGTGGTTTGTTGAACAGGCCACAGTGGCCTGGTTTACATGGTTTAAGTTTTTTTAAAAAAAACCCAAGCAAACCATATTAAGTCTTTATGCAACTTGAGAATTCAAGTAATAGCTCCTGGAATTAGTTAAACCTATGCTCCAGGAGCTATTGGTTAGATCTCCCACCCTTCCCAAGTCCAGTTTTCTACCACACATAGCTAAGGGATTTGAAACTAAAAGAAAAGCAATAGAATTTATTTCGACCAGATGCCAGGGTTCTGACAGATGCCCTAATTAAATCATGAGCCTCGAGCCATGCTTCAAAAGAAATCCAGTTATTTATTAGGAACTTCATGTCGGCATGTTCCCAAATGAACTTGCCGACATGAAGCTCTGACCCCACGTAATTTATGGCCCCAATCATGACCCTATTTCCCCTCTCCCCCCAGGGTGTGTCATCAATCACATTTGCCAACGGAGCAATTTCACGTATTGTAGAGACCACTCCCCTTAGGCCACTGTGGGTAACGCTGGGAGACAGCCTTGAGAAAGATATGCCTGGAATGCACTCCTGACTGGCTGCCAGCTGCTTTGTCGGTTTCCCATCCCCATTGCCTATGACAACTCAAGAGCAGGCCAGGGATGCTTCACGAGTTGACACCAGAATTGAGACCTTCCTTTTTATATTTTAGCAGGGGTCCCCAAACTTGGCAACTTTAAAACTTGTGGACTTTAACTCCCAGATTTTCCCAGGAAGGAATTTGGGGAGTTGAAATCCACAAATCTTAAAGTTGCTAAGTTTGGAGATTCCTGTTCTTTAGGAAGAGAGAAATATGAAGAACAACATACATTAGTTGACCTGCAGCTTCTTTGGAACAAACTGTTTGCTTGGCTCTCTCCAAGGTCAGAGAGTGTAACTCCGTCATCCACCTCTTGCTACCTGAATGTAAATGGCTAAACTGAAATTATTAGTCCCTCTATGATAGATTGTTATTTTATTTATTTTGCTGTGAACCTATAATGGCCTAATCTGGAACAGGGCCACTAGATATGGAGAAGAGGAACAATCACCTTACTTGCAGTGGCAGGGGTATTTTTTAAATTAAGTAATACCAAGGAACTCCTTTTTGACAGGAAGCTTAAGTTGACCATACATAATGGCATTGATTCAGATTATTTCCATTTTAGAATTAAGCAACTAAAACTGGAACAGAATATTAGTTTGAGTGTCCAGCAGAATCCATGAACCTTGATTGAGAACAAGACAGGATATACGTGGAAAATTGCATCCAGTTCTGGTCATCACAGTACAAAAAAGATATTGAGACTCTAGAAAGAGTGCAGAGAAAAGCAACAAAGATGATTGGGGTCTGGAAGCTAAAACATATGATAAACTATTGCAGGAACTGGGACCATCTAAATAACAAAGAGGATTAGGGATGACACGATAGCAGTCTTCCAATATTTGAGAAGCTGTCACAAAGAAGAGGGAAGCAACCTATTTTCTAAAGCACCAGAGGGAAAGACAAGAAGTAATGGATGAAAAGAAAGATCTAACCAAGGAGAAATTTCCTGGAGTGAGAACAAAATAATCGGTGGAACAGCATCTTTTCAGAAGTTGCAGGTGTAATAATACTGGAGTTTCTTAAGAAGAGTTTGGGCAGCCATCTGTCTAGAATGGTTCAGGGCAGTGGTTCTCAACCTTCCTAATGCTGCAACCCTTTAATACAATTCCTCATGTTATGGTGACCTCCAATAATAAAATTATTCCTAAAACCATTGAAAATATGTGTTTTCCGATGGTCTTAGGTGACTCCTGTGAAAGGGTCATTCGACCCCCAAAGGGGTCCCGACCCACAGGTTGAGAACCACTGGTTTAGGGTCTTGTGCTTGGACAGGGAGTTGGACTAGATTAGGGGTGTCGAACACAAGGTTTGCCTGTGTTTAGGCAGATCTGTGTTCACAAGGTCAGGCCTGCGATGTGGTTGATCTGGCCCAAGGGGCCATCCTGGAGAATGTAAGGGGCTGGTCCATGTCGCTTTGGCCCGGTCTATCCAATGTGAAGAGGAAACATCAGGCCAGAGTGGTTTTGGCCCAGTCTACCAGTGCAAAGAGGAAACATGCCCACCCAGTTGTCCATGTCCGGCCAGTCAGCCACGCCCAATGACTGGCATCAAACTGGCCATACCCACCCAGTTTTTTTTTTTAATTTGATTTATATGCCGCTCTTCTCCGGAGACTCAGGGTGGCTTACAATGCGCTAAGCAATAGCCTTCATTCTTTTGTATATTTATACAAAGTCAGCTTATTGCCCCCACAAACCGGGTCCTCATTTCACCTACCTTAGAAAGGATGGAAGGCTGAGTCAACCTTGAGCCTTGGAGAGATTCGAACCAGCAGTAAATTGCAGGCAGCTGTGTTAATAACAGGGTTCTTAGACCACTGTACTATCAAGGCCACACCCATCCAGTCGGCCACACCTCTCTAGCCCCGTGAGGTCAACCACACCCTGATGTGGCCCTCAATGAAATTGAGTTTGATACCTCTGGACTAGATGATCTGCAAGGTTTTTGTCCAACTCTGTTTACAAAAGATTACAAACTACTGGGGGTAGAGTTCCTTTTTGCTTTTGAGGGAGCATCTGTCCATTTTGGGTTAATCATGCCATGCTCTGTTGAGTCCTAAAGGCTGGCTGGCTAAACATATTCCATTCTTTAATCACTGCTTGTTTTTATTCTTCATAGATTTCACTAAATGGAACAACACCGCATGTCACAAACTGAATGCTTACATCTGCAAGCATGAATTGTAGGGAAGAGACACTGATTTCAAAAGATGAGAGGTTTGCATGCAGAAGAACAGAACAGGCCCTCATTTTTGAAGAGACATTCTTTTAGACACGATTCATACCGATCATGCTCAATATAACTCATAATATCTGGTATAAAGAATTTCTGGTCTTGTGTTTGCATAAGAAATTTTAACAGAAAACTCTGGGAAGGCAGTTTTATGTTCTGTGCTGACAGTTACTTACATCTCAGATTCTTTGGGAAAGTTCCCGAATAATTAAAATAATAAAATACTCAATTATCTTTACACCTTCTTTGAGTCTTGATCATCCAAACATGTTTCCCAAAACTCCTTTCAGGGGAGTGGTATCAATTAATGGAATAATTAAGGAACAAAATAATTTATACGGCAAGGACATGAACAGTTCTCTGAATCATTTCACTTATTTCCTTCCCAACATGATCAATTCTTGCAATGCTCAAGTTGAAGGATAGACACAGAATATTTTACCTACTTGCTTGCTTTCTGTTTGAAATCAGTTCTTAAAATGTGATTTTATACACCTACACAAATAACACACATGGAAAGTGAGAGAGAGAAATGCCACAAAAGAATACATTTCTCTTGTACTAATCAAAACTTATCTTGATATATATTCATGTTCTAGTATAGAATTAGATGCAAAGAAAAAAATATCTGCTGTGAACTATGTGTAGGCACCAGAAAGGGCATCCGGCTAGTAAATGCTCAGCTCCATACAGTCGAATTAAGGGATTACAGGGTCATAAAAAGAGAATATAGAATTAGATGACAACAATTTAAGTAATTTTTCTTAATCGTAAGAAAAAAAGTGAGTAGCCAAATGTATTGATTGGTTATACATAAACCAAACATTCAAATAATCTTCCAATCTTGACTCCTGGGATAAAATGTTGGTTCAACTCTAGAAAGAAAAGTACATTATCCTGATCATTGTATAGTAGAGAGAAACTATATTTTGTATTATCCTTCCCCTGCCATGCCCACCAAGCCACACCACTCCTACCAAGCCATGCCCACAGAACCAGTAGTAAAAAAATTTGGATTTCATCACTGGTGCATATGCTCTCAGTGTACATAAAAGAAAAGATACGTTCATCAAGAATCATAAGGTATAACACTCAATGATCCAAGAGCCTTGGTAGTATAGTGGTCTAAAGCACCCTGTTATTAAGACCAGCTGCCTGCAATTACTGCAGGTTCGAATCTCGCCAGGCTCAAGGTTGACTCAGCCTTCCATCCTTTCTAAGGTAGGTAAATTGAGGACCCAGTTTGTGGGGGCAATAAGCTGACTTTGTATAAATATACAAAAGAATGAAGGCTATTGCTTAGCGCATTGTAAGCCGCCCTGAGTCTCCGGAGAAGGGTGGCATATAAATCAAATAAAAAAAAAAAAAAAAAAAATGATAGTCATAGGGTACAAACAAGCAATCACGAAACAATATCAATATAAATCGTAAGGATACAATCAACAAAGTTACAGTCATACACCTTGTAATATCAAGGTTTCCCCCCCCCCATTCAGAACACAATTTCCATTTCTGTTTATTTGCATGTAAATTTCCAAATCATTGGTTTTTATTCCATTAAGGAGTGGGGGTGGGGAGGGACCTACAAAACTGAACCTTCCAGAATTAATATAAAAATGAATTTATTTAGAAGGGTTTAGAATATGTGAACATTGTCTAACCGTGTTCATTAATGAAATATATATCAATCTATTAATGCCAGCATATTGTCAATAATGCCAATCTCTGTCTTATGCTACAGTGTGAAGGTTTATATCTGTGTTTCTCAGCCTTGGCAGATTTTTTTTAAAAAAAAAGTTATTTATTTTTTTAAGACAAACAAACATATAATACATCAGTCCTTCCGTGTGTCATCTCGGTGTTTCTTCTGTGACTTCTTCTTTTTGTTACTCCTCCTCTTCTTATTTCTTCCTTAGTAAATCCCATTTCTCTATTTCAATATTTTCCCCAAAGTACATATATTTAATGTAACTTTCTCCTGTTTGCTTATCAAAGTCTTTATCTATATCTCTTTTCTATCCAATCATAAAATTTCCCCCATATCTTAAAATATTCCGTATCCTCTTTCTCTTTAATTATTAAAGTTAATCTATTCATCTCTGCGCAGTCCAATTTTTTTCTAATTACTTCCCCTTTTAAAGGAACTTTCTCTGCTTTCCATCTTTGTGCAAATACTGTTCTTGCTGCAGTTACTGAAGGTTGAAGATGTGTAGATTTTAACTCCCAGTGTCATGCCTCCAGCATAGAAGTTGTATATGTATACGGTGTTATTGTTCTGTAACATGTATTGCATCCACTGCTGCATCCAGTGGCCAAAGATAAACCTTTCATTGTTTAGAATAGGGCTCTCCAACCTTGGCAACTTTAAGAATTGTGGACTTCAACTCCCAGAATTCCACAGCCAGCTTTGTAAAGCTGGCTGTGGAATTCTGGGAGTTGAAGTCCACAAGTCTTAAAATTGCTAAGGTTGGAAACCCCTGGTTTAAAAAGCTGGTTTTAGTAGTGTTTTGACCCTACAGAGTAGCCATCCTGCCATCCTCCCTCATGTTGAAAAAAAAAAAAAGACAGTGAATCTTGACAAGTCAGACTCTATTTTATAACATTCTGAGGAAACTGAAGCACCTGGAAGAATCCACCCTAATCTTATTTATTTGTTTGTTTGTTTATTTATTTAATCAAGCATATATAAGAGAACAGGTAAAAGTATAAACATAATTTGAATACATGGAAAGAGTAAGAGTAAAAAGGAATATTAGGAAAGGGATGGTAGGCACACGGGTGCACTTATGCATGCCCCTTACAGACCTCTTAGGAATGGGGTAAGGTCAACAGTAGACAGTTTAAGGTTAAAGTTTTGGGGGTTTGGGGAAGAAACCACAGAGTCAGGTAGTGCATTCCAGCATTGACCACTCTGTTACTGAAGTCATATTTTCTGCAATTGAGTTTGGAGCGGTTTACCTTGAGTTTGTACCTATTATTTGCTCGTGTATTGTTGTGGTTGAAGCTGAAGTAGTCATTGACAGGAAGGACATTGTGGCAGATAATTTTGTGTACTATGCTTAGGTCAGACTGAAGTTGGCGTAGTTCTAAGTTGTCTAAGCCCAAAATCTGGAGTCTGGTGGCATAAGGTATTTTATTGCAGGTAGAGGAATGGAGGACTCTTCTCGTGAAATATCTCTGGACTCTCTCGATTGTATTTATGTCCGATATGCAGTGCGGGTTCCAGACAGATGAGCTGTATTCAATTCCATGACACATGTTCATCAGATTCCATGACACATGTTCATCAGAGGGCAAAATGTTCCATATGCATAGCATCACTGGTGAGACTTGAACTTTATCTGAATTTGGTAATTGTTACGTTCACCAGAAACTCAACACTGTTTGTTTTGTATTTGGATTCTTACTCTATATATTTCTATTTCTCCCAGTTTCAGCTCATCCTGTGCTTTTAATAAAGCACCAAGATCTATGCACATGGTCTGGTTTATTGAAAGATAGATGGGTTCAGCTGCTTGTTGATCTACACACATGTGTAGTGAGGACAGAACACCCAGAGTTCCTCAACTAGTATGGAAAAGAGGTTGCATGTCAGGTTGCAGCTTTTTTGGCTTCACTAAATCAAAGAGAAGGGAGTAGATGCATGGAATGCCAAGCTAACTGCACTCAAATGGGACTTCCTATGTGAACCCAGCTACAGATAGATCTACAAACCTAAATGAGATAAAACAAATTACAGATAGAACAGATTAACAGAGTTGGAAGGGACCTTGTAGGTCATCTAGTCCAACCCCCCACCCAAACCAGAGAACCTACACCATTTCTGACAAATGGCAGTCCAGTCTCTTCTTGAAATCTCTTCTCTCCAGAGATAAAGCTCCCACAACTTCCGAAGGCAACTTCTGTTCCATTGGTTGCTTGCTTTCATTGTCAGAAAATTTCTCCTTATTTCTAGGTTGAATCTCTCCTTAGTCAGTTTCCATCCATTATTCCTTGTCTGGTCTTCGGGTGCCTTTGAATATAGATTGACCCTCCTCTCTCTGTGGCAGCCCCTCAAGTATTGGAACACTGCTATCATGTCTCCCCTGGTCCTTCTCTTCACTAGACTAGCCATGCCCAGTTCCTGTAACTGTTCATTATATATTTTAGCCTCCAGTCCCCTAATCATCCTGGTTGCTCTTCTCTGCACTTTTTCTAGAGTCTCAACATCTTTTTTATAGTTTGGTGACTAAAACCGGATGCAGTATTCTAAGTATGGTCTTACTAAGGCTTTATAGAGTGGTATTAGTACCTCACTTGATCTTGACTGTATCTCTCTGTTAATGCAATTTAGGATTGCATTGGCTCTTTTGGCTGCCACCACACACTGCTGGCTCATATTTAACTGGTTGTCTACTAAGACTTCAAGATCCCAGTTCTCACAGTTACTGCTATTAAGCCTGGTTTCATCCAGTCTATACCTTTGGTTTTTCTTGCCTAAGTGTAAGACTTTACTTTTCTCTACATTAAATTTCATTTTCTTAGATAGGGCCCAGTGTTCAAGTCTGTCATACTAAGGGCTAGCCCTAAAGTCTGTCTTGGGTGGGTGGGGACAGGTTTTCCAATGTTGAATTTGGAGATTTCTTTGCTTCATTATTAAGGAAATCCTGTTTGTTTTATGTTTTATTAAATTTATATACCGCCCTACTCCCGAAGGACTCAGGGCGGTGAACAGACACAGAATAAAATACATAAATACAAAAGTTAGAAGCAATTTAAAACCAAATTAAATAATTTAGCCCAAGACAATTAAAATTCCAATAATTTAAAACAAATTAAAATTTCAGTTTAAAAATTTAAAAGAAAGGGGAGAAAATTAGGCCAGGCCGGCTTGCTGGACTTTATGAAAAATCTTGGAGACTTTAGTAATGGAAAAAAAATGAATTCTAGACTCTAGACAGTATAGGAGAGTGAGAAACTGAATATCTAAATCAGAGGTCTTCAAACTTGGCAGCTTTAAGACTTGTGGACTTCAACTCCCAGAATTCTCCAGCCAGCTATACTTTGGCTGGTGCTTTGGTAAATAGTTTGCCCCCTTTATCTTTGTGGCAGCCCTTCAAATACTGGAACACTGGTATCATATCACCCCTAGTCCTTCTTTTTGCTGAATGGGATGGAAAGAAAAGGC